AGGTATTACTTTATACTTTACCACTAATCAGAAGAACAATTTTATTAATTTCTTTAATATTTATCCCTTTTTGATATATATTGTATATAATATATCCCAAATTATTATAATAGATATATTTCTAAAATAAGGTTAAACAATTTCAGTGATTTTGTTACCTCATTAAAAAGATAATTATATAACTATTGTACATTTTTTGTATGTAACCATGAAACCTATGTAGTTTTTATTTAGGAATTTAGGAAAATTAATTTAAAAAAAAAAAAAACACATGCCAAATAAGAAGCACCTTAATAAGGTTTAATTACCCTCAGTATAGGTGTGGTTTTTAGGTAAAAGAAAATCTTTTTTTAACAAAACTCTAAAACTTTAAAATTAATATAATTAAATTATTATATAAGATAATTTGATTTAACTATCTCTATTCGATAAATCTGAGAATCATGTAAGAATGTAAAAATCTGTTTTTATAATATATCTTTATTTTATTGTGGCTGTTGTCATGTCAGTTAAAAAGAAATTTATTTTAACAGTTTAAATTTAGAAAAAGTAGAGGTCATTTGGTCAAGTATGGTTCAGACTGGTCGAGTATTGTTCAGACCTTTGGTCGAGTATGGTTTAGACTGAAAAAAATAGGTGGAGTACAGGTCGAGAATGGGTTAAGACTGTTTCAGACTGGTCGAGTAATAGTTCAGACTATTTTCAATGGCAAAGATAAGGGTCAAGTACAAATCAGTACAGTCGAGTATGGTTAAGACTGGGGTCGAGTAATGTCGAGTAAAATTCAGACCAATTCAGACTGGTCGAGTAAAAATCAGTACAGTCGAGTACAGATATAGGCCATTTCAGACTTTTACTGGTTTATAGTGGATGTATGCTCTGAAAATTTGAGAAAAATCAAACTTCTGTTTGGATTTTATCTATTTTGGCAGATTTTTGCAGCAAACTGGAATATATAAGAGATAGGTTATGATCTATCTACCCTAAATTTCAGAAAACTTTGTCAACCTGTTTTGAGTTATAGCCTCTGAAATATCATTATTTTCAATTTTTCACAGTTTTTTGCTGTTATCTTTAAAATTATAGAACCTAGGTTGAAAGTGTAAATTGCAAAAACAATAAAGGTCAATTATTGTGTTCATAACAAACAGCAAAACCATAAGTAATGAACTAGTTGTTGTAATTGTATAGTGTATTTTTACTTGTCTTACTAATTTTTTTTAAAAGTTAAATTTTTCAAGTGAATGGTATATCCCATATTACAGTAGTTTATTTTTGTAAGTGGATACATTCAGCTGTGAAATAGACTGTCCCATAAAGCTTAGTCCATTTTACATAGGTATATCTAAACAAGAATGGTATATCCCTAAACAGCCAAGTTCATTAAATAAATATGAATACTGTTTTATCACTCATCACCATTTTTAAAAAAGTACTAACACATTGTGACAACTGTTTAATCATAATAATCATTCAATTAGGAGTTAAGAATGAAATAATCGTTCAAGTAGGATTGAGTTAACAATTTTCATTGAACAACTTTCAGTCCCTATGATAATTTGTACCTAAAATCTAAACTTGTGCTCACAGGTGAGTGGTGAATACAGTTTGTGTTCTGTTTGTCAGATACCTTTAAGTATTGCCAGTGATGGGAACATAGTTGTACTCAGTGAAGTGAACATTTTACAGTGACTTTCTAAATATCACCATCTACATTGTTCAGTTAGATCTTAGTAAAGTTACTGGAATAATATTATTTGCACTAATGAATCTTTTGAACATACACCACATACCATAGCCACATACAAATATTATAGGTCATGCAGTTATAGTAACTAACGATAAATGCAAATTTTGAGCATACATTTAATGTATGCAATGAACAATTTAATACTTAAATATATTTTTGTAAGCTTAGATGAAATTTCATTGAACTTACCTCCACAAAGGAACTTCAGCTTATATTGAATTTTTTGGGGAAAATATATAGCCTTAAACACTTGAAATCAGACCTGCCAACTATCCCGATTTTGGCGGTATCATCCCGTTTTTTATGCCTCAACCAGAATCCTGATGTCGGGATCGTAAAACAAGTCAAAAACCCCATTTTCACAAAATTCACTCGAAAAAATTGTTGGTTGTCGATTTTGAAGTGTTTCTGATCAATTTCTATCAATCTATAATTTTACCTGGTGACATATTTATGACAAGTTTACGACCCAAGCTAATCAACGGTCACAACAGGTGTCATAATTTGTTTTTACAGGTAATCTGCTTATCCGATAGGTCATAATGATCCTCAAAATTGATTAATTTGTAAATAGAATTGGTCAGTCGGCATTTCAATTTTAATCAAATTATCATACGATCACAATTTGCAACGTTTACCGTAGTTTCATGACAAAAACGTAATTAAGTGAGAGACAAAAACTGTTATAAACTTATTAGGAAACATCGTCTATCTTGAAATTTGTTAACATTTTTGAAATTCATCAGATGTGTTTCTGTCCAGTTCTGAATTAAAATTGATGCCATATTGTATTCACTTCTACTGTGTATAAGCCTCCACCGGTAGAAGCACCTCTGAATACCAAGAAAGATAACTCAAAATTTATCCATTTTCTCATTACTGATAGACTTAACTCAAGAACTGTCTCCATCCTTCTAACTTTAGGACATTTAGGTTTAGGTCTTGAGTCATGGTGCAAAGATTAGAAGGTCTTTGGAGAGGAAAAGGGGGGGGGGGGGGGGGGTGTTTTCCTTTTGTATTCTTTATTTTTTAGACCATTTTTCTCTATTCTTAAGTTATTTTGCCAATTAATAAGTACAAGAAATGAAAAAAAAAAGCCTTATCAGCTCATCATCAGTATACCAAAGAAAAAAGAAGAGATATGAGACTATTGTCAGTGCACACAGAAACGTGGCGCAAAAATTGTAACCCTTAAAAATCTGGTCGTGCACTAAAACTCCCATGGAGATTTTCAAAAGTTGGCAGGTCTGATGAAATACATAGCATGAAAGTTTCCAGTGGTTTAGCTTCCATTGATGGTTTTGACATTGTACCATTCAAGAGTTAAGGCCCTTTCTTACATGTACCTTCAACGTTGGGTTTTCTACAGTTTCCTGATAATGATAATACCCCTTGACCAAATCTTCTGAAACTTCAACACAATGTCTTGGACCACAAAAAACAGGTCAAGTTGTATTATGATGATTTTGACATTTACCGATCACAAGTGATGCCTCTTACTATCTTAAATATTTGATTTGTATTTAATTTCCCCATGACGGTACCCTAGACACAGAAACAGTTGAATATCATTAAATAAATAATTACAGCAATCCCTAAAGTGTTGTTGCTATAAGAGTCTTTACACTTGTGTGTTTTATTGTAATAAGTCTGCATACCCTGAGGTATCTACTTTAGAAATTGTATCTTGTTGAATATTGGTCCGGGTACACAGTTATCGTCCTTTGATTTTCGTTGTCCACGAATATAGTCCCTAGTGTGGACAGTGTGTTACTTGTCGATTTTTTTTATACCCCTTCCAAATTTATTTCTCCATGTTTTATGACTCAAATAGTAAGTAGGGGGGTGAAATGACACTGTAAAAAAAATTTGGGTCATGAATTTTAAAGTAAAGTACTGATTTGGTCCAGCTGAAAAATGTTAAAATTTAGCACTTCGGAAGCTGTCAAAAGATTTGAAGACCCCCTTAACATGAAATTGTCCATATTTTGAGTTAGAGCCGATGAAGTTTTCTATAATTTTAATATAATTTGTCCCAAAAGTAGTACAACACACTGTAAAAATATTATTGAGAAAGCGCAGGTGGGATTTTTTTAATTTTCATTTATTGTCTAAAAGAAATGCACTACGAAATAACTGTGTACTCGGACCTATTTACAAGGCGTGAATATTCACTGTTGTCCATAAATATTGAAAATGTGCAGTAGCCAGGATTTTGACTTCTTAATTATTATTTTTTCAATTTGATTGTAATTACCTGTTGTTGAACTTGATCAATTTTTGGAAATTTGCCATATATAGGAGACAGTGTTAATCTCAAACTCCTCTTACAATTTAAAAAGAATTTTTATTTTGCAGTAAAGTTGTACTTTAAATGGAATTATTCTTGTAGAAAAGATTTTGATTTTCTGCAACTTTTCTCAAAGTATTTTATACTCTAAAAGTCCTAAAATCTTAATTATCTGAGTAAATTTGATTAAATCCTTCAAGTGTCACATTATTTTTCATGGATACAGAAAAAAACCCCAGAAATTAAAGATTTATAAACTTTTAACAAGCAACGAATAAAATGGGTGCATTTAATATCGAAAACAAGATTGGAATTATGAAATTATGACTGGTTTCATAGATTTTTTGTATGTCCATATATATACATGTGTATTCCAATTTCAAACACTACAATAAGATGCACTAGAATATAAATTACAAATGGTATCATTATATAATATTTATCTTGGCCATCTGTCATAGGTTAATTACTGTTAATTCAGAAAATTTTGCATGCATCTATTATTGCGATTGTTGAATAATGGACAAAAATGTGAGATTAATTATTGCGATTTGTGGAAATGCTGCATATATACACATAAGTAATGCTACCAACTTTTTCTCAAGCTTGTGACATTTTGTCTTGGAAGCAATTTAAGACAAAGCAATCCTACATTTTGTTATTAACAGAGTCAACATTTAGGTTCATTCTATCATTACTTTCTAAAAGTAATTATATATATATATATATTTCTTTAAATTTCTGTATCCATGTTCTATGTTTGGGGCATACCGTAAAAGTATTTTCTATCTTGTGTGAGCTGTAAATGCAAAAAATTTAGACTTAAAATAATACCCATTTACTATGTATTGTAGGAATTTACTTCATATAAACCGGGTCCTTTCCATTTCATTTTATTAATAACAGTATAATGTATTTTATATATTACATATTTAATTGAAAAAAGTTTCTTCTTTTCAGACTGAGTTTGATTTAGCCGATAGTCAGATGGATAGTCAAGATTTCATGGAGGACAAGAATAGTTCAAAAAAGAAGAAAGCTAGTATTGTGACCAAGGCAATCATGGTTTAATACTGTTGACAAATAACATTGTATGAATTTAAATATGTTGATTATGTTCAATTTACATTGTTATAAAAGTGAAATATTTTGTAACTGAGCCTGTGGGGACAATGGATATCAAAACTGTGAAAAAAAAATTTGTGGAGGCGAGACTTAGCCATGCTGTTTCTGGCGGCATCAAACAATTGTTAAGGTTAAAAAACTACCCTTAAAAAAAAAAAAAAAACACCAAAAATTTTAATTTCAGTTTCACATCATCTGTTTAGTTCCATTGTCATCATCTATTGCTATATACTATCAAGGAATTGTATGTTTAAATATACAATTCCTTGATACTATCAGCAGAATCTTGTGAGGAAAGGTAACCAACATATTTTAAGATGCAGCCTATTTTACAATCTTTTGTCTAATAATAAAAGATCCTGAAATATTTAAAGCCCATTGGTTTCTGTTATTTAGGAATTGTTCTTCTGAATTTCTCAAATGTTGGGAAATAGGCAAGATTTTAGTATTGGATCTTCATGACTTATTGCTGTTAATGCTGATGTTTTGTGATAAAATCAGTTGGAATTGTTGTATGGTTTTCTGTGCTAAGGTCATGTCATATATTTATCAAGGAATGTAAAATCTTAAAATGGGAGAAAACTTTTCAGACAACATGGTTGTATGCCACAGGGCAGTTTACACACAAATTTGATTGTCTGTTCCATAATGAAGTTCAGCTTCATCTAGGTCACATGTTTTTTTCCATATCTGTGATTGATTATTTACTAGTTATCATCTTGTATCAGGATTTTATACAAGTGTTGTTAATTTATATTTATTAATAATGTTACTAATTTGATTTTCTTAAATGATAGCGGACAATGTTTATATTATCTTATTGATTCACTGATTGTGTTTTGAAAGTTGAAATAAAAAACATTAATGTTGCAGGTATTTTTTGTGTCATTCCTTTTTCACTTTTATATATTCAAGATGAAAAAATTGCATTTTCTTTAAAAATCTTATTATTAAGCTGAAACTACTGACCTAAAGTGCACATCAAAAGTTTTCAGTTATTATTCAGTATTTTTTTTAAAGTTTCAAGTTTAATTTATAAATATGTTTTTAAGAAAAATGTACCTGAAAGGAACATAGCCTGCCCTCAACAGATTGTGGAGTTGCAGCCGCGACTTGCCCCTAAAAATGGTTGGAAAAAAAAAGAATCTTGCTATGAAATATACTTCCAGATGAGGGGTCATGCTCTCTGGAAGTTTTTCTTATAGAATGGAACAAATTGTTCTGAATTTTCGCCTCTTATTTCTTATAAATCTTTTGCAATTGTTGAATTAAATTTTATTTTCCATAAATAACATGTCTGATCATGTTGTGACTACAGTTAAGTGTGATATGAAATTGCTCAACCTTATCAATAAAGATTGGAAATAATTTGTTGTATAATTGTAAACTGTAGTAATTTATAAGATGATGTTTTTTTTGTTAACGCTCAGTTGAAAATATTTTGATGGTAATCATTATATTTGTCTAAATTTGAGTTCTTCACAGTAACATGTCTGGACTGAAGAGAGAAGACAACAACTATGGGACAATCAAAAATCATCTTTTCAATAGAAACGGGCAAAACCATGACCCACCAATTTTAACAGTTTCTTTATGAGCTCTAATACAAATCCAGGTTGATTAAAAGTTTGGTTGAATTGCTTGCAAATTTTGTTTGGATGTTTGCTGAAACATTGTTGTTGAGATTGACATCAGAAAATAATATATAGATGGAGTTTCATTCTGTTTACAATATACAACTATTCGATTGGACAATGCCTATTATCATGTATTGTGTCTTGTTGGGCACTTGACTTTCAAACAAGACAATACCCAGTCTTTAAAGTTTGTGGAGAATTTGATATTGGAAAATGAAGTGGCATATTTGCAGTTCTAAAACTTGCAATTCCACCAATTGATCAAGTTTTATTTTATTGAAGGTTAGTTAAGGAGTAGTTGTTTATCTTAGATTTACAATTCCTAAGGTTAGTGTTTTCTGTCAATAAAAGGAATAAAACTTCTTTTTTCTTTTTATTTGGGAAAAAAATTCAAATTGCACATGTTGATATGTTCAAAGACATTAATTAAAAAAAAATGGAAGTTCTATAAACATGAATCATTTTGGGAATAGCAAACTTAATGAGCCCTAGGTCATGATTGATATTTTAGTCTTAGATGCATGATTTTTATCAGTTGTTATTGGCTTTGAACTAGCTGTCAGTAACTGCGAGTACTCTCAGATCTGTACTTAGTGTCTTTTTTGTTGTTGAGATGTATAAGTAACCGGCCACGTCCGGTCTGTGTTTTTTTAGATGTATTTATGCTTTGTATCGATCTGATGAGTTCAGCCCTTTTCAATTGATTTTTATACGACCGCAAAAAAATTTTTGTGGTCGTATATTGGTAAGACATTGGCGTCATCGTCGTCGTAAGAAGACACATTAGTTTTCGCACTCTAACTTTAGTTTAAGTGAATGGATCTCCATGAAATTTTACCATAAGGTTCAATACCACAAAAGGAAGGTGGGGATTGATTTTGGGGGTTATGGTACCCACAGTTAAGGAATTGGGGGCCAAAAAGGGGCCAAAATAAGTTTTTTTGTAACTTCCAGACATAACTTGTGTGTAAGTGTATGGATCTCTCTGACATTGTTCCACAAGGTTTCATATTACAAAGGGAATGCTGGGATTGATTTTGGGGGTAATTGCCTCCAAATTTTAGGAATTAGGGGTCAAAAAGGGGAAAAAAACAAGCATTTTTCTAGTTTCATGACAATAACTTGTGTGTAAGTGTATGGATCTTTATGAAATTGTACTACAAGGTTCCATATCACAAAGGGAAAGCTGGAATTGAGTTTGGGGGTAATTGCCCAAAAAGTTTAGAAATAAGGGGCCAAAAATAAGCATTTTTCTAGTTTCCAGACAATAACTTGTGTTCAAATGTATGGATCTCTCTGAAATTGTACTGCAAGGTACCATACCACAAAGGGAAGGCTGGGATTGATTTTGGGGGTAATTCCCTCAAAATATTAGTAATAAGGGGCCATAAAAGGGCAAAAAAACAAGCATTTTTCTAGTTTCAGGACAATAACTTGTGTGTAAGTGTATGGATCTTTATGAAATTGTACTGCAAGGTTCCATATCACAAAGGAAAAGCTGGGTTGGAGTTTGGGGGTAATTGTCCTAAACGTTTAGGAATTTGGGGCCAAAAAGAGGCAAAAAAAACAAGCATTTTTCTAGTTTCCAGACAATAACTTGTGTTCAAGTGTATGGATCTCTCTGAAATTGTTCTGCAAGGTACCATACCACAAAGGGAAAGCTGGGATTGAGTTTGGGGGTGATGAATCATAAGGGGGTTCAAAAAATTGGGGGGGATTTTTTTTTCATTTTTTTTTTCTATAAAATTTTCCATTTTAAATTGGTTATTTCTGATTTATATATAAAAGCAAATAATAATGATATGGTTTGAATAGGTAAATTAAAATTTTTTAAGTTCTTAGACCACTTTTATTCTGTGTAAGAAACCTATGCTGTGTCAAATATTTGATTACAATCCAAATTCAGTGCTGTATCAAGCTTGAATGTTGTGTCCATACTTGCCCCAACTGTTCAGGGTTCGACCTCTGCGATCGTATCAATCTGCGCCCCCAGAGGAGCATTTTATTATTGTTTGTTCTTGTGTTGTACTGTTACATCACTGTCCCAGGTTAGGGGAGGGTTGGTGCCTTTAAACTAGGTTAGCCCCACCACATTCTGTATGTGCCTGTCCCAAGTCAGGAGCCTGTAATTCAGTGGTTGTTGTTTGTTGCTGTATATCAGTTTTGTTTTTCGTTCATTATTTTGTACATAAAATTCAGGCCGTTAGTTTTCTCGTTTGAATTGTTTTACATTTGTCATTTCGGGGCCTTTTAAAGCTGACTATGCGGTTTGGGTTTTGCTCATTGTTAAAGGCCATACGGTGACCTATAGTTGTTAATTTCTGTCATTTGGTCTCTTGTGGAGAGTTGTCTCATTGGCAATCGTTCCAAATCTTCTCATATTTAAAAAAATTAAGTCTTTCAAAAATTTATTATCTAATAGACTAGGATAATTTATAAATGGATTATAAAAATTAAGCATCACAGCACAGTTTAAATGTCACTTTTAGCTCACCTGACCAAAAGAGCCATGTGAGCTTTTGCCATCACTTTGTGTCTTGTCTGTCGTCCCTAAAGTTTCTTCAAAAATCTTCTCTGAAATTGGGTGATGGATTGAAAGTAAAAATTGTCTGTTTTAGGTTGTCTACTCGAGATTTTTTGTCCAGATTGTTCAACTAACATGGACACAGCATCTAAAATAGAACAAGGGCCAAACTACAGTTTTGGCTAATACCTCTAAAACTATAGCTATTAGAGAAAATCAATGAAGGTAAAACTGGCCAACAAGTTCTTTAGAATTCAACCCTGAAAAATAAAAAAAATCCGTCCAACTGTTTCTGAATTATTGCCCCTGAAATTTTGATTTTGAACTTTTTGGCATTTCCTTGCCATTGTTTCAAAAAACTATAGGAGCTAGGTTTAAAGTGTAAAATGCAAAAATAACCAGTATAATCAGACGAATGTAGGAAAAAAAGTCACAGGAAAAAAGGTCACAGGAAATAAAGTCGCAATGAAAAAAATAAGTAAATGTAATATATTAAATTTTTGAATTTACATGTATATACTTTTTAATTGATTTTTATTAAGATGTAGGCAGGAACATATATATGCATTTTATGTCTCTATTATATGGAAAAAGTCAGAGGAAAATTATTTGAAATTGCAAATCATATCAACTGAATAGTGTAATTTCATTTCAGCATCTTTAAATGTTAGAATACAGGGGTATAAGGTATTTCAATGTTTATATTTATAGCAATTGAATAAATTTTTTTAAAACAATTCAACAGACGGACGGTTATTAACTAATAAACTGGCTTCAGTTAACTACTTACATTTCCTGTCAATCGACTTCTGTCTGAACAGATTAACTCTTAAAAAACCTTAAATTTATTTAGAGTTTAATAATTTGTCATTTATTCACTTCTGAAAGTTATGTATAACTTTAAAACAAGAGAAAAGCAAAGAAATACAATATAGCATTTATACAAAAATGGACATTATTCCCAACCAGATTTGTGACTTTTTTTCCTACATTTAGAAAATGTGTGACTTTTTTTTTTCAGTGACTTATTTCCCTACCAAATTTGTGACTTTTTTTCCTGTGACCTTTTTTACCATTTACCAACCAGACGTATCCACCCTTAAAATAAAAGAAGAAAAATCTCACTCCTTGAAATGGAGTTGTTGACCCTGAAGCATCGTTTTTTCCCTCCATTTTTAGCATTTTCTAGCTGGTGAAAACTAAAAAATTATAGAAATATTGTGTGTGTTCTGTTTTGGAGCTATTACCCCTGTAATAATATTTTTTGCAGTTTTTGGAGGTTAAAAATGTAAGCTGGAAAAGGGTTCAGCAAGACCAGATTTATCTACCCTGAAAATTTGAGAAAAATATGTTGACCTGTTATGGAGTCATTGCCTATGAAATAATCAATTTTTGCAGTCGTTGGCATTTATCGTGTAACAAATATAGGAGCTACGTTAATAGTAACTGCAAACATGATCAGCACGACAAAGATGTATTAACCCTCAAATTTCAGATACATATGTCTTCCTCATTTTTACTCTTTTTTTGTTTGCACAGTTTTGACTTATTGAAAAAGTGCCTCTTGTTAATCTGCTGTTACTATAACGTGAAAATTTGATTTCTTGTAAAATAATTGTTAATAAGTGAAATTTTGCTCTTTTAATCACACTTATTCTATTAGATAATGTTACTCGCATTGGTTTAATGTAAACTTGAAATTCTATGATTTGAGAGAAAAAAAATGACTTGCAATGTTTTCAGGGTCAATGCAGTATTAGAAACAAAAGGGAACCACACAAGCAATGTTAAAAAGGCCCTATTCGACAAAACAAATAATTGTGTAATACTTTTTCTCCTGTATTTTGATATTTATACACATATTTATAAAACTAACAGTCAAACCGACGCCCCACTTTTTTAAGAGTTTTACTGCTTCTAGGAACGGGAGATGCATAGGTGATCACATTATTCTATGTTGCATAGTTATTGGATTCATAATAACAACTTAAAACCAGATCCAAAATCAGTCTTTACATAGATAAGCCTCGGGTACGTCTCTCTTATATGAATAGGAAATTGATTCATTTGACCAAACTTACTAAATTTTGTAAATTTTTTCTAGGAATTCAAAAAAGAAGTGCTATCTTGATATATACGGTGCCAATTTTACTGCACCAGCATTGAGTTGGAAAGACGACGAATATATTTCAACATGATGAAGCCAATGATATAATACTATTATAGAGATTAGAACAATCTGGCACTTATTACCCATTGTTTTAGGATGCTTTTCTGTAGCTAGAATTAAAAAATAACATAAACGAGTCAAATTTAAGGTACATGCGTGTCGTCTTATGAACTTGTTTCACTGATTAGGGTGTCTACCTGGTATTACTAAGTTATTTTTGTACGCGTTGATATATGCCTACATGTTGATTTATTTTTGTTTCTAATTACTTATTCATGTTTCTTAAAGTGTCAATTGCAATCGTAAAATTAATTTTACAAGAATTTGACCAAAAAATTCATAACTATTGGATAGTGAATTGATTACCTGAAACAGAGTCATATAATACTTAAATAACATGTCTGCCTGAAAGCAGAAATTTTTGAAGAATTATCAAGTGTCTTTGATAAATGATATATGTTATTGGTCAACTGTAAAAATAAAATCATTAGACTAACTATAATCACATCATAATTGGTGTCAAGCGATAATAGTTAATATATATAATAAAAAAATATACAACCATCTTTAAATTGGCAGAGTTACCGTTCATGTTAAACTATCCGCACACATTATTATTTACCGTCGTTGCTATATTAAGAAAATGATAAACATGATCAATAATTTAAGCCAGTTAAAACTTATATTACTTCCTAGACCACCATTTTGTTATAAATTACTACGGAATATTTGATATCGATTTAGAAGGTAAGAATTATTTAATTATCTCTAGATTGACACACCATAACCAAACTTGTAACACCTGAGTTTGGAGAATCGGGAGAAATCACACAAAACATCCTGTACTGAGGTACATCGACAATCTAATAACCTTATATAATTAGTACAGTATTATATAATGAGTGTCAATGACCGGAGATTTCCCAGCGTTCTCTCTTAGTCGGTACACTGTACAGCTGTACTGAACTTAACACTAAACTTGTTTATCCTGCGATCTTATTTACTGCATTCTACTGGACGCTGACAAATCATTGGATGTCGTATGCTAACTAGTAGATCTCTAATGCTGGCTCATTGACAACAGTTACTATGGCTATACATTAAGTTCGTGTTCTGTTCGAGTTAGAGTTTAACTTCTGGTTGAACCGTTAGAGTTCGAGTTAATTATGTATTCAAGTTGAATAAATCGAGTTGGATTTTTAAGTTATACAGTTCCATGTAAAGTTCGGATTGCAGTCGAATTAAATTTTGTGTTAAAGCAGGAACTGATAGATATATTGGTCTAAGGTTTAAGTAAACCGTAAAGGAAAAACAAGGCATATTCATTTGCCTAACTATCCACGCAGTTTTCTGTTTCTGTCATGATATTTGAATTTGAATAAGGTCGGGAGTAATATAAGAAGGTGCCCTGAAAGGTTAAACGGACGGCGCTTCGATCGACAATCGTAGTATTCCCTTATAGCCATGCAGATTCCATTAAAAAAATTGGCAAAGGCCATAATATATTTGATTGGTTATTTGTATGCATGTTGTTTTTAAATCTATAAACCCATTAGAATATGTTTTGTTTCGCAACAGCGTTTATACATGATAACAAAAAAAAACATAAGAAAGAAAACATGTAACAGAAAAAAAACTTCTGACCTACAGCATTCAGGAGTATGTATACCTTATATAAAAGTTTTATACTTTATTCGTAAGGTTAAATTTTCAATAAACTGGAATTTTTAAAATAGTTGTTTTACTATAACCCCTCTCCCCTTCCCTCCAATAAATCAAATCAGTTGAATCTACAAAAATATATATAGTTGACAACTATTATTATGTTGGTGTTCGGTGTAGCACTTTTGAGAAGGTACTTGTCGCATAGCCACTTAAATTGGTTGTTACTCAAAATATTTTTTTGAAAAGTGAAAATTATTTTTGTTCTTATTATCTCTTGAGTTTTATGGCTTGGTTTTGCTACTTTTCTAGAAGTAAATAATGCATATTACTTTTGATGACGTTTTTTTTTCTTTTGATATAACAGCTCTTCAACATCTATTAACCAAAGAACATGAATGATTGATCTGACGTAAAGTTGTCATGTGCTACACTAAACTCTTTCCACTTTCAACGCTTGGTATATCGATTTCTTTTCAAAAGTGCTAAGATGGACATGAGATAAACATGCACCATCTTCCGATGTCATCTGCGGTTTGATCGACGGCCATTATTTTATTTCATTATGAATCATCTATGTTAACTTTATAACCAATATTAACCACTCAGTTTTTTTAGATAACGCTTAATCATTTCACTAACAACACTACATTTTTGTGCTTCTTTGTTACATATTTGTTTGTTTTTATAGTGATTAAGATTATAACCCAATGTTGACTGTTTTAGCCCTATTTTTGACATTTTTACCTTTTATGTCTGTTTAATTGTGTTCACACATCGTTGTCACTATAATGGAATTTGATGCGACAATCCTACAAGTGAGAGGTTTAGCTATCTATAAAACAAGGTTCAATTCACCATTTTCTACATAAGAAAATGCCTGTACCAAGTCAGGAATATGACAGTTGTCATCCATTCGTTTGATGTGTTGGAGCTTTTGATTTTGCCATTTGATCATGGACTTTCCGTTTTAAATTTTCCTCAGATGGCAGTATTTTTTTGATTTTACTTTTTAATCGGATATTTTTTTTTTATACTAGTACTACTTTCAATGTGATTATAACCAGATAAATGTACCAATCTAATCCACTTAGATACCATAGCCAAATGGACTTATCTAAGAAGAAAAAAAGAAATAACCGAGAAACTTGTAAATAACCTATCTCGATGTAGGATTTAAACTCGACTCATATTTACGCAAATAAGTCCTCCAACTCAACCAACACGTTAACGTGAACTATAACTAAAGCCTGATGTCCATGGTTAGCAACACTCCCGGTTTACATTAACACCCATCAATCTTTGTTTTTGGACATTTTTGAATTAAATTTCGAGTTAATATATGCCGTTTTGCGCTCGTCAGGAGAATTTTCGGCCAAAAACGTTCATTTCTTTTAACCGGAAAACATTTTAAGGACATGAAAAATAACTAATAAACTTAAAACGGATGACATGATAAAAATGTTTATTAAGTAGGAACATTTAATCAAGGTACACAATAGTTCAACCCGTTCATAAATGACGAAATCATTAAAAAAAAACTAATCAGGCAAAGTGGAATTTATATGAATTTATTTTTTTTGTTTAATAAAGATCTTGTTTGGTTCATATAGTGGGTAACGTTGCAGCGTATTTTTGACTTTCCAAATGTTTTGGCTTGAGCGCTTTGGACACACGAAATAAATAAAGTAAGTATTATGCTGAACAGTAGAATTGGATAGCTTAACACTTAATACTTCATTGTAAAAATCTCTTTCATATTATGCAAAATTTGCCTCTTTTTCGTCTTCAGAATACTAGTATCGGACTGAAAAATGTGTTAACGAAATAACGAGACAGACGCATATTGGAAAGACTGCTTAGAAAAATATAATAGGCATGCGCAAAGGTTCAATGATGATTTAATGCACCACATAAAGTCATAGTACCTCATCTTGACCGTGATCTAATTTATTCTTGTTTCAAAATGAGTAACTGCGATGTCCATATCGACCAAAGGACCATTCTCTACTGCACCCAACATGATAAGATCATCTGTGAATTATGTCTTCCCGACACCCATAAAAACTGCAAATCCATCATTTCTATAGATCAAGCAGCAAAAGGCGTCAACAATGGGACTGCTTTAGAGGATCTAAAGAGTAGAATGGAGGATTTGAGCAAAATGTTCAACGAACTGATGAAATGTCAAACAAATAATGCAGTAATCTTTGAAAAACAAAGAGATGATATCATGGAAAAGATTTATACCGATAAACAGCTGATCAACAATGATCTTGATGAAATCAAAGACGAACTGAATAAACAGTACCAAACAACCAAACAAAAGATGGAAGAGGCAAAACGAAATACACAGAAAAGGCACCAGTCAGTGCAGACATGGATACACGAATTATCATATGTAGAAAGCCTTAGTAATGAGGTTAACTTATTTCAGACAATCAAAGTACTGGACAAGAAAATTCACAAAGAGGAAACCGATATTTGCAATCAGAGAAAGCATTACAAAATAGAATTCAACCCAATTGGCAAAAAAAATCTCCCCATTGTATTTCAATTTATGGGAAAAATTTCCGTTACAGAAGAACAAATGCACATAGTCGAGGTACATCACAATTTACAAGTACATGTACCTAAATCAAAGGATGACGACTATCAACGAACTCATTCGTTTCTTACATCAGTATTTGGATTAAATATTAAAATTGATAAATGCTGTTTTATTTCTGAAGAAAGACTTCTCTTGTTTGGCGGCACAACACCTCATATCTTTGTATGTGGATATGATGGGACTGTTGTATGCACGGTAGAATTAGAGCATAAACCAAAGGATGTCGCCATCATAGACAGTAAACAGGCCATAATTACTTTATTGTCAAAAGGGTTCCAAATCTTAGACCTTATATCATTTACCTTAGGAAAATGTATCAAGGCTAGTAAAAATGGATGTTCGGGTGTGACAAGTAGAAATGGACAGATATGGACGCACGATGTTTTCCGAACTATCGATCAGATTGATATAAGTGGTAATATACTACGTAGTATAACAACAAAAGATTGTATAAATAATATTGTCATAGATAACAATGGCAATCTCTACTATAATCAATTTCCTCACGAATACAATGACGTATACCGTATGACACGCGATGGACACGTGAGTTTATTCTTTGGTCATTCAGACCTCCGCCGTCCGTGGGGCATCGATGTAGATGACAAGGGTAATGTTTATGTAGCTGGTATGATGTCTAACAATATACACAGAATATCATCGGATGGAAAGGATCATCAAATCATATTGACAGAGAATGATGGGATAGATTATCCTAGGGATTTAAATTACAACAGGGACACAAGACAACTTCTTGTTGTCAACGATCATATGAAAAGGGTTGACATATATAGTTTACCTTAGGATATGTGTGATGTATAATACATTTTTGTGAATGGTATTAGATTATTTATATTCAGTTATATGGAAAAGACGTTTTAACACGAGAAAGATGTTACTGAAAGCAACAACTGTATTAATAAAAGCATAAATGGTTAATTCTTTGTTAACGTTAAGTAATAATTGTTAAAAAGTATTGATTGTAACTTTTTGTTAATTCATCGTTTTTATAAAAGAGAGGCGAAAGATACCAAAGGGACAAACAAACTGACAACTCCGTGGCTTAAAAAATAAAAAGACAAACAGACAAACAGACAAACAATAGTACACAAAACACAACATAGAAAACCAAAGACTGAGCAACACGAACCCCACCAAAAACATATGCTCCGGAAGGGTAAGCAGATCCTGCTCCACATGTGGCACCCGTCGTGTTGCTCATGTTAGGACATACCCGGTAATAATTCGGTAGGTCACATTCGTGAAAAGGGGACCGGATTGTAGTTACGACAGTAGGAACATATCCGATATCATCTGTGAAACGTATATTCCATAACGGTCAACCAACTCGTGATGACGTCTGTAAAACTTACGAAGGGATGATTTCAACTTCACCACTTGGTTTAATATCTTCCCTGTGAGCAGCAACCCTCTATCAAGGAAATCATGATAGGAAATACAAGCCCTGGAATATCGTATAAACTGGGAGATATATACTCCGTATGCAGGCGCTGTTGGAATGTTGCTACATTGAAATGAAAAGTTCACAATTGGGAAGCGGAAAGCTTTATTTTTCAGTGAGTAGAAGACCTGAATGCTTCATATGTTATATGCAGATACCTTATGTTATGAAGTTTCCCTCTGTCATATGTCCATTGTCCTTTACCCCATTTTCATGGTTCAGCCACTGCTGGAAAAAAATTGTAGTTTTTTTGTCGTGTGAACTTCTTATTTATTATGAGTAAAATGATAACCATCTTTTGGTATATGTGTTCCTTGCAAGGTCTACATGGCCGTCAGATACGGTTTACCGGACCTGGACCTCATATCATGGATGAGTGATTAAGGTTAAGTTTTTGTGGTTAAGCCTATATCTTAGATACTATAGCAAAAGGTCAATTATATTAAGTGTATTAAATGATTGATCAAGCAGCAGGTTTCAACTTACCTTGACCTCTTTTTCATGGTTCATTGGACAACGTTTAGTTTTTGTCGAGCCTGCGACTTCTGTCGCAGAAAGCTCGACATAGGGATAGTGATCCGGCGGCGGCGTTAACTAACTTCTTAAAAGCTTAATATTTCAGAAGGTAGAAGACCTGGATGCTTCATACTTTGTATATAGATGCTTTATGATATGAAGTTTCCGTCTGTCATATGTTCATTGGCCTTGACCTCATTTTTATGGTTCAGTGACTACTTGAAAAAAAGTTAAGATTTTTTGTAATGTTAATTTCTCTCTTATTATGAATAATAGGATAACTGTATTTGGTATGTGCGAACCTTGCAAGGTCCTCATGCCTGTCAGACAGTTTTCACTTGACCTCGACCTCATTTCATGGATCAGTGAACAAGGTTAAGTTTTCGTGGTAAAGTCCATATATTTTGTGTATGGAATGATTGTAAGCCGTATAAGTCTGTCTGGCAGGTATCATCTGAACTTGACCTCATTTTCATGGTTCATTGGTCAATGTTCAGTATTCCTGGTTAACTTTGTTTCTTCGATACTATAAGCAATAGGTCAACTATATTCGATGCATGGAATGATTTTGAATTGTACATGTCTGTCTGGCAAGGTTCATCTGACCTTGACCTCATTTTCATGATACATTAGTCAATATAGAATTTTCATGATTTGGTCTGTTTCTTTTATACTATATTTTATACTATAGGCAATAGGTCATCTATATTCGGTGTATGGAATGATTGTATTAAAGGTGTTCATGTATTTCAGCCTTGGTTTAGCTGCCCTTGACCTCATTTTCTTGGATCATAAATGTTAATGTGATACTTGTAGTTAAACTTTATAATTTAGGACTATCAACATAAAATCAATGGTCAGTATAGTGGGCGAGATTTTTCAGCGTGTGCACTCTTGTTGTTGTTTGGTCTATTTCTTACATACTGTAAGCAATAGGGCCATCATATTCAATGTATTGAATGATATATAAAAATAAGAAAATGTGATATGATTGCCAATAAGACATCTCTCCACCAGAGACTAAATAACATAGAAGTTAACAACTATAGGTCACCGTACGGCCTTCAACAATGAGCAAAACCCATACCGCATAGTCGGCTATAAAAGGCCCCGAAATGACAAAATGTAAAATAAATCAAACGAGAAAACTTATGGCCTGATTTATGTACAAAACAATGAACGAAATACAAATATGATATACAGCAACAAATGACAACCACTAAATTACAGGCTCCTGACTTGGGACAGGCACATATAGAATGTGGCGGGGTTAAACTAGTTTGCTGGCGCCAAACCCCTCCCCCTAACCTGGGACAGTGGTGTAACAGTACAACATAAGAACACACTATACAAATATGTTAAAAGACAATAATTGTTTTATATACTGAATTAAACTAAACTAATTGAAGAATAAATTCCATTATTGGAAAATAATAAAACTTGATAGACCAAAAGTGCCAAAATTTGACTCACGAAAATTTAAGCACGTCTCATTTTGGTAAACTACCAAAATATCTAAACCAAAAATATCTATTTTCAGTAATACTCGAAAGAGATCTTTCTTGATTACAAACTTGAGGTTCTCATTGATAAAATTATCGACTATAAGTTGGAGGATTTTAACTTCCAGGCTACATTGAAGCGAAGGGATCTATATTACAGCTTTAGATAAATTTTCAGAAAGAAAACGTTAGAGATCATTAAAGTGCAAGTTATATAGGTGCTTTCCTTTCAGGTCAGGACACAATCGTCTTGAAAGGGTGTTCGAAAACAAAAACAAAAAAATGAGTCCTATCTCATTCCACATAAGGGTGAAGGTGGCAGCAGCGTGATGGTGACGGTGATGGAATTGTAGTGATGGTGTTGACGATAGAATAGTAGTCACTGTGGTGGTTGGCGACATCTGCTGCTTAGGAACATGACATTTTAGCTACTGTTACTCTTGTCATGAGGTTGAGGGATCATTCGTGACCTCTATCTAAAATTATAGAAGTTATGGCTTCGTTTGTGTCTGTAAGCTTTGATTCCTATAGTTCATTCCATGTTTTTTGTCTTCTGTATATGGTTGATTTTGTAGTCCAATTGATTGCCCTTTTCCGGAAAATGTTGACACAATGGATGAAAATAGAGTGCTTTGTTGTGGAAAGACTCCTGACATTTTGGCAAGCCGTTGAGGAATTTAATCCCTTTTTTTTATATTAAAAATCATTTATTAATATTAAAATGTATTTTTCAACGGCTTGCCATATGACAAGACGAATTCGGAATTGCCTTCGCAGTTTTGGTTGGGGTAGTGGAGGTTGACTAATGCAGACTTTTTATGCATTCTGAAATTTCTTTTCACATAAAATGTGTACAAACATTTGTACAGAAAAACAAACCCGATAGATGTAGTCTATTCTATTAATCGTTGTCAACAAAAACACATTGTATTGTGTATAAAGTTACGTTGCTATGTGAATTTTATATGTGTCGTAAAAAAAGTTTTGTTTTGGACGAGAGACAACATAAAATTATGTATATTGAAGAGAGATTAATATTTTTATGTGATTCTATTTAAAAGTGTTTTAAGATCCAACGAATAAATTGGTCTACATGGTTTAGAATATATAGTTCTAGGAATGTAGGATAATAAATACGTGTTTAAGAAAATGTACTTAAAACAAACATGAGGAACATAGATAAATCCTGAGCAGATTTATAGAGCTTTATGCGAAACGTGAAATCTTTAAATTTTTCTTTCTTTACTATTGGATATAATTCATGATAAGCGTTTCAGTCTTCCTTGAAGCTTTACTTTGAATGTAAAAAAAATTACATCATTTTCGCCTCGTTGATTGAAAATAATGTTTACCATAAAATATGGATCTTTGGTCATGATGTGACTATCACATTATGCGATCCTTACTGATAAAGATTGGAAAATGCTTTTCAATTGGCCAGTGGTAAAGCTTAGTAATATATTTTAGATTTAACAAGTTTCTTTTGATAAATGATATATGGGGCATCCGTAATTCTGTTTATTGAACCCCGTTTTTTGCACATATCATAGACCTATTAAGGTGTTTAATCATATAATCACGCCCTGATTATTATGGCCTCGCGAGTATAGTTAATATATATAATGAACATTTTATACAAACCTTAGTTAAAAGTTAAATTTAGTTATGTAGAATTTGAATCGGTAGAGTGAGCATTCGTGTTAAAATACCCGTACACAATATTATTCAACGTCATTGCTATATTAGGAAAATGATAAACATGATCAATAATTTAAATCAGTTAGAACTTATATTACTTCCTAGACCGCCATTTTGTAATAAATTACTACAGAATATTTGATATTGATTACGAAGGTAAGAATACTTTATACCCTCACGATTGGCACACCATTACCAAACTTGTAACACGTGGTTTCAGAGAATCTGGAGGGATCACGAATCACCGTCGTTGCACAAAACAGCTTTTACTGAAGTACGTCACTAAGCTAATACATGTTAATAAGTAAAGTTACTAATATATATATATATACATATATATATATATATTCAGTGTAAATGACCGGAGATATTCCCAACATTTTCTCCTAGTCCGTACACTGTACTGAACTTGCCTTTAAACTTATTTACCATATGATCTTATTTACTACGTTCTACTGGGTACTGTTCAATCATTGGATGTCGTATGCTAACTCGTAGATATCTAATGCTGGCTCATTGTCGACTGTGGATATAAATCAAGTTTGGGTTCGGTTCGAGTTACAGTTTGACTTCGAGTTGAACCGTTATAGTTAAGAGTTTGAGTTAATCATGTATTCAAGTTAAATATCGAGTTGGAAATTTAAAGACATATTCGAGTCATACAGTTCCATGTTTACTTCGGATTGCAATTTAAAATCGAATTACACATTGTGTTAAATCTGGGACTAATAAATATATTGGTCCTAGGTTTTAGTAAAACTTAAAAGGAAAAACGCGAAAAAAAGTATAATATTGAATTTGTACATGAAAAGAGAGGAGGAAGATCCCAACGGATTTGCCCATTTTATGGAAGCAAGGCATTTTCACTTGCCTAAATAAACAGTTTTCTGTTTCTGTCATGACTTTTTAATTCAAAAGGTCGGGAGTGATATTATAAGGTGCTCTGGAAGGTTAAATGAACCATACTTCGATAGCGACAATATTATTCCCAAATGGTCAGATTCCATTTAAAAAATATGGTGAAGGCCATAATATATTTGATTGGTAATTGTTTACGCATGGTGTTTATAAATCTATAAATCCACGAGAATATATTCTTTTTCGTAATAACATTTAAGTATAAAATGATAAAAAAAAAGCAACATGATCACAAAGGAACAAAAAATATAACGGAAAAAAACTTCTTAGTGAAAAGAACCAAAACAGTTGAATCTACAGAAATTCAGTAGACAATTATAATTATTTTGTTGTTTGGTTGTTGCACTTCTCTGAAGGTACTCGTCTCATAACCACTCAAATTGGTTGTTACTCAGAATCTATCTATTTTACATGAAAATCATTTTTATTTTTATTGTCTTTTGAATTTTATGGCTTGGGTTTGCTGCTTTTCTAGACGGAAAGAATACATATGACTTTTGATGATGTGTTTTCCTTCTTTTATTATAACATATATCAACAATGAACGTGAATGATTGATCTGACTTAAAATTGTCATGTGCTCCACTCAACTCTTTCTCTTTCTTGGTATATCAATTTCTTTTTTATATAGTGATAAGATGAATATGAGATAAACATGCACCATCTTCCGATGTCATCTGCGGTTTGATCGACGGCCATTATTTTATTTCATTATGAATCATCTACGTCAACTTTATAACCAAAATTAACCCCTCAGTTTTAAGATAACGCTTAATCATTTGACTAACAACACTACATTTTTGTGCTTCTTTGTTACATATTTTTTTTTTTTTTATAGTGATTAAGATTATAACCCAATGTTGACTGTTGTAGCCCTATTTTTGACATTTTTACCTTTTATGTCTGTTTAATTGTGTTCACACATCGTTGTCACTATAATGGAATTTGATGCGACAATCATACAAAAGAGGGACGAAAGATACCAGAGGGACAATCAAACTCATAGATCGAAAACAAACTGACAACGCCATGGTCAAAAATAAAAAGACAAACAGATAAATAATAGTACAGAAGACACAAAATAGAAAACTAAAGACTAAGCAACAACAACCCCACCAAAAACTGGGGGTGATCTCAGGTGCTCCGGAAGGGTAAGCAGATCCTGCTCCACATGTGGCACCCTATGTTTTGCTTATGTTATTACAAATCCGGTAAATAGTCTAATTCGGTAGGTCACATTCGTGAAAAGATACAAGTGAGAGGTTTAGCTATCTATAAAACCAGGTTCAATTCACCATTATGTACATAAGAAAATGCCTGTACCAAGTCAGGAATATGACAGTTGTCATCCATTCGTTTGATGTGTTGGAGCTTTTGATTTTGCCATTTGATTATGGACTTTCCGTTTTGAATTTTCCTCGGATGTCAGTATTGATTTTACTTTTTAATCGGATATTTTTTTTTATACTAGTACTACTTTCAATGTGATTAGTACCAGATAAATGTACCAACCTTATCCACTTAGATACCATAGCCAAATGGACTTATCTAAGAAGAAAAACAAGAAATAACCGATAAACTTGTGAATAACCTATCTCGATATAGGATTAAAACTCGACTCATATTTACGCAAATAAGTCCTCCAACTCAACCCACAAGTTAACGCGAACTATAACTGAAACCTGATGTCCATGGTTAGCAACATTCCCGGTTTACATCAACACCCATCAATCTTTGTTTTTGACATTTTTGAATTAAGTTTCGAGTTAATATATGCCGTTTTGCGCTCGTCAGGAGAATTTTCGGCCAAAAACGTTCATTTTTTTAACCGGAAAACATTTTAAGGACATGAAAAATAACTAATAAACTTAAAACGGATGACATGATAAAAATGTTTATTTAGTAGGAACATTTAATCAAGGTACACAATAGTTCAACCCGTTCATAAATGACGAAATCATTAAAAACAAACTAATCAGGCAAAGTGGAATTTATATGAATTTATTTTTTTTGCTTAATAAAGATCTTGTTTGGTTCATATAGTGGGTAACGTTGCAGCGTATTTTTGACTTTCCAAATGTTTTGGCTTGAGCGCTTTGGACACACGAAATAAAGTAAGTATTATGCTGAACAGTAGAATTGGATAGCTTAACACTTAATACTTCATTGTAAAAATATCTTTCATATTATGCAAAATTTGCCTCTTTTTCTTCTTCAGAATACTAGTATCGGACTGAAAAATGTGTTAACGAAATAACGAGACAGACGCATATTCGAAAGACTGCTAAAAAAAATATAAAAGGCATTCGCAAAGGTTCACTGATGATTTAATGCACCACATAACGTCATCATTGGCACTCATACCGCATCTTCTTATATTTATAGTACTTCATCTTGACCGTGATCTAATTTACTCTTGTTTCAAAATGAGTAACTGCGATGTCCATATCGACCAAAGGACCATTCTCTACTGCACCCAACATGATAAGATCATCTGTGAATTATGTCTTTCCGACACCCATAAAAACTGCAAATTCATCATTTCTATAGATCAAGCAGCAAAAGGCGTTAACAATGGGACTGCTTTAGACTATTAAGAATTTGACTATATGCCTTATGGGATCACTCCTATATGTATTAGATTTTTTTTAAACACTTCTAATAATGTGCAATAAAACATATTTTATAAAATTTGAATAATTTTTCTGAAAATGAAAATAATCTACAAGAATATAAAATATACTGATCATTTATATTTTATATTCTATAAAGTGGGACCAAGAGTCACAATGAGTTTCTTCAAAGTAAAAGAGCCTATGTTTCTTAGTTGAACAGTACAGTACTGCCTAGAAAATATCCTACAGAAAAAAGGTAGACTCTAAGTTTAACACAAATATTGACAGAAAATCTGTAAAAAAATAATGCTTCAAATTCTAAGTGAATGTGACATAATTTTTTGAGTTTTAAAATCATTTATATTGTAAAATTCAACTAATAGATTATCTAGCACAGTAGCCCATGTCTATTTTCTCAGGGTATTATAAAGATTACATGTATGAAAGTAAACTTTTTGAGAGAAAAAAATGGGGCTTCTTCTCTTCAGGTTCCTGTATCAGCTGCTTTACATATCTATAAACAAAGTATTGTATATTTTACCTGAAAAATTGGATATTTATATCACAAATGAAAGTTGGTGGGACAAATCTTGTGAATTTTACTTAATGATCAATGGATTATTAAATTTGATAATAATTAGCCATTTGAATAAATTCAATTTTGTAAAAACACATCTCTATGAATTAACTTCTTTTTTGACTTGATAAGCTAGTTTTTGCTCTTATTAATGTAGCTCACTTAGTAAAGAGATAATTAAATAAACAAGGTTTTTAACTTATAAAATATAAATATAATACTAATGACCTTCATTTCCTTTTTCATGTTTTTTTCCTCCAGAAATTTTCTTTACAATGCATTTTCTATTGCTATTTTTTTGTGCTTTTGTCCATCCATAGGCTATCATTAATTTGTCAGATTTGTTTCTAGTTTGAATGAAAATTTCTAAGGCGTATAGTTTCAAACGCAATAAAGAAGATCTTTGTTTGTTGTTTCACTTTTCCAATGTGTAAATTTTCACTGTGCACATGACCCTGACACATATTTGGTAACGTTATTTGACGTATGTTGAAAAAAGAAAACACAATGTCACCGTCAATTTGTGTAGGGGATCAAAAAGGGGTTTATAAATTACTTTGAAATGGAGATATCGTATGGAATTGTGAAAAACAACAATTTTTAATCACAATTTCATTCATATCTTTAATAAAATCAGTATTTTAGAATACTTTGGAAACAGGTACAATGAAAAGAAGTTGAACTTTACTGTTTTGAAGCAGAAACGCAGCCAAAACCAGGTACACATTGACATGACTGGTGGTCACTAAAATTGATGTTTTACAGTAAAAAATGATGGCTTCAAAATTGTGTAGAAATTTGAAATAGGTTACTCGGTTTCATTGAAGATTATTACCGTTCTTTTCCGTATTTGGATACGCAAACGTCAAGTTATCAAAATTCGATGTTTTTGGCGAACAAAAAAGATGGCTGATAATTTTTAGAACGGACAGGATAAAGAAATAGTAAATACAAGCTATTTTGATAATGTATGTATGTCGTATTGAAACTATATTGGTCGCAAAATCTACAAATATAAAAAATGAATTATAATAAAAGCATGACAAGTTGAAAAAAATACTTTAAACGTCAATTTTTTAGCCGATTGATTTGGCGGACTTTTCGACGTCACGAACGACTGTAGCGCCACCTAATTAATTCCCCCTGCTATTGTTGCTGATAGAGCTTGACGACAACGGACGTTTCCAAGGACTTGCTTTCCAACTGTACAAGTTTCTTTCTGTAATATAAAACACTGTTTTACTAGTTATTCGAACAATAGCAAAGATAATGTTAACCCTCGACAGCAACTTCTTCACTCCACCTATCAGCGTGAAATTGCTGCTGCCTCGGGTTGCAATAAACTTGCTATTGTTCGAAAATATAGCTAGTAAATAAGTTTATACTATTAAGTCAAATGTTGTTGGAATTTTTAATAGATCCTTGATTGAAGAATCTGCTCTTATATGATGTCGTTTTACTCTTTTCTATGATTTGGCCAAAATTTGAATATAACGAGAAATTGTAAACAGAAAAATCAAATCAACAATACAAGATCAACATAAAGAGATTATTGTCATGAGTTCTATTCTAGTCCACAATGTTGGAGAGTATTCATTGAATGAATCTTTATTGCATTAGCAACAACATTACTTTAGCAAAATACAAGGTATATACATATATGACAAATATGACAGAATACAGAGAACAATTAAATAAATCAAATAATGAAGAGATAACTTATAATAACACATACATATGTACAACATATTAACTGATAATATGGTTAATGATGTACATATACCTAGATGAGTGACACCGGCTCTTTACAGTATCTAGTTAAAACAACGAATAATATGCTATTCTCTACTTTTTTAGATGTGCAAAATACATGTAAACATCGAAGGACATCCTCACTGATATATGAAACAATAAAGTCAACGTAAGAAATATTTTATATTTTAAAAGAGACCAATATATATGTGGTTTCTGTTCGAGGAGGATACTGCTAATCAAATATCAACTATATATATTGTATCGTTGTCAAACATAATTTATTATTATGTTGTTCAATGTAGTATTTGTACAAAATATTCAGTTTATAATTTGATTTTTAAACTGATTTTTTGTAATATGATTAAGAACTAATATTTATTGTAAGAAGTTAATAGATAATGCAAAATTAAAAGCAAAATTGACCAAAATCTTTAAGCTGAGCTTTCAAGAAGCACGACCAGGCGACATCGCTTGATAACCGTTGTCCCTTATTTCTCCAAATTTTCGGATTACAAATTTTTGGCCAATTTGAAGCAACTCTGTATACTATATAATGCTATCTTTCGTTTAGTCGTCAGCAAGACCGACATACCCAGAAAATACTTAAATCTTATACTTAACAGCTCCAAACAATTTGACAAATCGAGTTAAAACCGATTAAATAATTCATAAAAGTTTCGCTATAAAGTTTCTAAATTATTTTGGTCAGAAGTAAACCATGCCGGTAAAGGTAGATTACATATTTGATCGGTTGGTTTTACCAGGCTCAAGGAATACTGTTTACAACGATTGCAAAAATCAAAACGGCTGACAAGACTAATTTAATTCGTGAGGGGCCCGTCTTTATACTTAGAATAATTTCCGAATCAAGGATCGAGACTTGCATCTATCATTTGTATACTTACATTTCTCAATATAAAATATACAGATTTTCTCGCTTGAGCCGAGACGGCGAAAGTGAGAAAAGCATTCGAGTTGAGATGACCAATAATAATCTGTTTATCGTTTTTAACCTATGACTGCGTTGTTAATTTCATTGACAACGGGCAAGTGCGCACGTTATTTCTAGTGATAATTTTTTGTATCACTCTACAGTGCTGAGAAAGCAAATTATCAGTCAGTAAGAACAAAGGAAAATTTCGTAAAATAGCGATAAGAATGTCTTTGACACAACTGTCCATTCACCAATATAAAATACAGAGATGTGATATAAATGTCAATAAGACAACTGTCCACCAGACACCACAAGTAGATGTTAGCAAAATTCAGCGTAAGACCTTCACCAATGAAAAATACATACAGATATCAAAAGGATCGAACAAGACATAATGTATAACAATTCAAAACGAAATCCCGTTTGCACTTATCTTTTCGAACGATAAAAATCATTCGAAATATATTCAGTAGTCTTTATTTATTTTTTTTAGAATGACGGACAAAAAATTGTGTTCTGGATGTTTACGAGATGACGAGAAAATCGAGGCTGAAGCATGGTGTAATGAATGCTTAGAAGAAGTTTGTAAGACATGCGCAAAAGTACACAGAAAATTAAATCCGCCACATAAAGTTATACCACTTCACCAGGTCAGTAATCTTAGTTCTTCTATTCTGAAAATCAGTAAAGACTGTGATGTCCATACCGATCAAAGGACTGTTCTGTTCTGTACCCAACATGACAAGGTCATCTGTGATCTTTGTTTGTCCGACACCCATAAAAACTGTGAATCCATCATTTCTATAGATCGAGCAGCAAAAGGCGTTAAAAGTGGGACCGCCCTTGCAGATCTTAAGAGTAGAATTGAACACTTAAACGAAATGTTGCCTAAATTGTTGAAGTGTCAAACTAAAGATGAAAAAGAGTTTGATAGGCAAAGAGATAAATTTCTCCAACAGATTTCTTCCACCAGACAGCAGATTAACAATCATCTAGATCAAATTGAAAAGGAAACCATTGAAGAATTGAATAAACAGTACAAAACAACCAAACACACAATGGATGAGGCGAAACATAAAACACAGAAAGGACTCGAGGCAGTAGCGACATGGATAAACGAATTGTCATCGATAGAAACCATCAGTAATGAAGTACTTTTATTTCAGACAATCAAAGTAATGGATAATAAAACACACATAGAAGAAACCAATATTTGCGAGCTCAATAAGCAACACAAAATAGAATTTGATCCATTTGATACAAACGATCTTCCAATGTTACTTAGGTCGATGGGAGATATTTCACTTACAGAAAATCAAATGCATATACCCGCATTACAGTACAATTTACAACAAATACAAGAACCAGTTAAGTCAATGGAAGAAGAGGAAGGCAAAATACAACGAAGTAATTCGTTTCTAACATCAGTATTAGGATCATATGTTAAAATAGAAAACGGTTGTTTTGTGTCCGGAAAGAGACTTCTATTGTCACGTTACAACACATCACACATCTATGCATGTGGATATGATGGGAATGATGTCCAAAGGATACATTTAATACATAATCCATGGCGCGTTGCAATGATCGACGATAAACGGGCAATAGTTACTTTACAATCGAAAGGATTCCAGATCTTAGATCTAACAACACTCACCTTAGGGAGATGTATCAAACCTGGAAAAGGATGCTATGCTGTGACATGTAGTAATGGTCAGATATGGACGTCTGATGATGGCACAACTATCAATCAGATTGATACCAGTGGTAATATACTACGTAGTATAACAACAAAGAATGAAATACGGGACTTTTGTATAGACAACGATAGCAACATTTACTATACTCCAGCCGTTTACGACGGCAATAACGTATACCGTATAACACCTGACGGACAGGAGAGTATATTCTGTAGTCATTCTGATCTAATCTATTCTTTGGGTATCGACGTAGATCACAAAGGAAATGTTTATGTAGGTGGAGCGTCGTCTGACAACATACACAGAATATCATCTGATGGAAAGGATCATCAAATCATTCTTGCAAAGAACGATGGAATAAAAGTTCCATGGGGTTTATGTTACAATAGGGACACCAAACAACTTCTGGTTGCCAACGACAATAAAACAAGTGTCGCCATATATAATTTACCATAGGTTGAGTTTCAATGCAGTGGATTTTATTACATATAATTTTTGATCATTGGTAATTAATTTTAATAATTATTGGAAATGTTTTTAATACATTTTAAAATAACAGCATTACAAAAAAAATATGTAATGATTTTAGTGTGTTTTCTTTATCATTATACATGTTATAAGACAGTTTAATATTTACACTATTAGTTGGTCACTTGATATTCACCACAATGTGAACATTTGGTAGGGGTTTTTGGTTTCCGAAGGAACTTACATATTGTGAAGTGAAATAACTACATTTTTTTTTATATTTAGGTGTATTATTCATGTTATTAGTTGTATCTTGTTATATTTTTTGTTTGCAAATTAATCATTTTTAAATTAATATGATTCTTTTAATATAGAAATAAGATAATTACAGGTTTCATAACCAGTTAGAATTGAATATCGTTTGATTGACTTTTGCATGGACGGCAATAGGAACCTTTATTTTTCACTGCAACAATAACGTTCACCGTATAACACCTGACGGACAAGAGAGTATAATCTGTAGTCATTCTGATCTCAATCGCCCTACGGGTATCGATGTAGATGACAAGGACGATGTTTATGTAGGTTGAATAAGGTCTTACAATAAACACAGAATATCATCTGAAGGAAAGGATCATCAAATCATCTGACAGAGGACGATGGAATAACAAATCCATGCTGTTTATGTTACAACAGGGACACAAAACAACTTCTGATGACGACATTTATAGCTTACCTTAGATTTTGTTTTAATGCAGCGGAATTCATTGACATTTATGATATATATGAAATAATTTATTTAAATTTTTGTTGAACGTGTATTTTATGGATTTGTATATAACAGCTTTACGTTACAAAATATGTAATGATTTGAGTGTGGTTCCTTCATCATTATAAGACAGTTGGATATCTATAGTTTTAGTTGGTCAGTTGATACTTACCAGAATGTGGACATTTGGATAGGGAGTGTTTGTCTCCGATGGTACTTACATACTGTGCAGTGTAAAAACAATTTTTAAATTCATTTGTATTAGAATCTTCATCTTGTTATTATTTGGTTTGCAAATTAATTATTTTTAGATTAATCTGATTCTTTTGATATAAAAATTGGATTACTCTATTTAAAATGGACGGTAACATGAGTAATAACATATAATTGATATGAAAGTAAGTACAGAAGAAAATGGTGGGTTGAATACTATATATGTTTGGCTTGCTCACCCAACTTTGTTAATATAACAAAACTACTAGTATTAACAACTGTCAAACAAATTGGAGATTAAGCTAGCTATTTCACCAGGTTTAACCCACCACTTCCTCTGAACATTTCTGTTCATATTCAGGAAAATAACAATTGTTTTAACTTGCTCAGTTGGTGTAAAAATAGATGAGCCGTCTAAGATTAACCTAAAGCAAATGCCCTTGCGAGGCACAGAGAAAAGCAAAAAGGAAAATAAATACTTTTTTACAAAGCCATAATTAAAATACATATAATTTATTTTTAACAAACATGAAGGATAATTCTAGTACCTGTGTATTAATGTTTTGATACTAATGACTATAATGAGCAGCAACCCTAAATCTATCATTGATAGAGGGTTGCTGCTCACTAAGATCTATTAAACCAAGAGTTCCAAATGGTGAAGTTGAAATCATCACTTCGTAAATTTAACGGACGCCATCACGAGTTGGTTGACCGTTATAGATTATCCGTTTCACAGATGATATCGGATATGTTCCCTACAATCCCTTCCCTTCTCACGAATGTGACCTACCGATTTAGACTATTTACCGGCTTTGTAATAGCATGAGCAACACTCAGTATTAGGTGCCAGGATCTGCTTACCCTTCCGGAGCATCTGAGATCAGTTTTTGGTGGGGTTCGTGTTGCTTAATCTTTAATTTTCTATGTTGTGTCTTGTGTATTATTATTTGTCTTTTTGTCTTTTTTTTATTTAGCCATGGCGTTGTCAGTTTATTTTCGATCTATGAATTTGACTGTCCCTCTGGTATCTTTCGCCCCTCTTCTACAAGCGTCGTGTGTGTATTTGTTTCTGTTTTTATTCTCATCTCTACACCTAGTAAAAAGTTATATCATTTCTTATACATTTTAAGGTAAGGTTTGTGTACACAGGGAGATAATTCGAATTCAAATAATTGAAAAAAAGGAGGGACCCGCCATTTTGAATTGCTTGGATCAACCAATGTTCGATTACTACAATATTATCGAAAATAAAACAACACCTACCTCAAAAATGCATTTTGATGTGATTTCATCAAAATTTGAATCGTAGAAGTAACGTAATGACCTTCAGTTTGTTAGTTTTCATTTATATGACGTCACGTTTAGCCATAACGTCTTTGTGCAAAAACAATTCATGAAGTTTTATTTTATTTCAAATTGATACATTTTTTATGCCCCCGTCGTAGCAAAGGGAGCGTTGAGTTTTACTCTTGTCTGTTTGTACGTCCATCCGTACGTACGTATCATAGTGTACGTCCGTTTGCCCAAAATTGGTTTCCGTTCTTTAACTTTAGTTTGTCTCAACCAACTGATATGAAACTTATGCACAATGCTTATTACCACAATATACAGAATAAGTTTGAATTTTGATGTCGTCACTTTTACCGTTCTAGAGTTATGAGGGGTCGGACAGGTACCTTTCTCCTTTCTCCCGTCCCTTTCTCTTGTTTCCCGCCGTAAAACATAAAAAAACTAATGTATGGGAAGCTCATTTCAAAAGAAATCGATCTAAAGTCTTGTTTTCATGGCTTGCCCCGTCTTGTCCTTTCACAAGATAGAAGTGTTGCTTATTCTGCTTCATGAACCTCAATAACTTTTACATTGACTGTTCAAAAATAAGAACACGAATAAGACAGATGAAAATAATATGGGGAAAAAATGAAATTTGTTGAAATTAAAATGAAATAATCATTGAAGTATGCTACATAATATCTTGATAGTATATTTATGTAACCATTAGAGGTGTTTAGTCCTAGTATATTGTTCTTTTTATGGAAAATGGCATTCTCTGTTAAATATATTTGAATTAGTCCGTAAGCTAAAATTTAATCTGGATAAGAAGAAAATTGAGTTGCATTTTTTTCATGTAAGCTGTCAATTTGAAACTTTCAAAACACCTTGATTTTGATACATTTTGGTGTGGAACAATCATTGAATTTTTCTCATTCTTGTTTTATAATCAAAGTAAAATTATTACCGATATGTGATATTTGTGTTGTATCACAGATGATCGAAGTTACGTTCCACTTGTCGTAGTTCGTCTTTAGTTAGCAAAAGCACTTGCTCACATAATTCTTAATTGCAAAGATCTACATGTCGGGTGTTTTCAATGGGCAGATATTTCTTACATGTACCCTTCAGAATCCTCCAAATTCGACCGATTTATGTGGCTTGGCGTTCGTATTGTTCAATTTTAAAGGTTTTTGTTGCATTAATTATAGTGTTTTGTGGACTGATGTATTACTCATAGTCTTTTTTCCGTTTTGATTATTGTGTTGTCTGTTAAAATAGACTTATTGTTTTGTTTGCCTGCTTGATGTATATGCAAAAAGATAGCAATCTAATAACATAAAATTAGAATAAACCAAGACATCTCGTCAGTGTCAGGTATGTGAATCAGCTATAGACGGAGCTTATGTTTATGGCAGTCACATAAGTATAAAATACAACCATTGAATAGATTATTATAATAATAGAGAAGACCGTCAATATAAAATACGGATCAAATACCATGTGATAAAAAGGACGGGTGGATGAATGACAATAATTATAATATAACCTGACAAAAGAGACAAAAATTAGGAAAAGCATGTTAACAAACGTATGTTACTAATACAGTAAGCTATATGAAAGCTATTAAACTATGAGTTCCAAGTGGTGAAGTTCAAATCATCCATTCGAAAATTTCAAGGACGCCATCACAAGTTGTTTTTTGTATACTGTTATTTGTTTGTTTTTTTTTTCTTTTCGTTGTTCGCCATGGCGTTGTCAGTTTGTTTTAGAGTTTGAATGTCCCTTTGGTACCTTTAACCACTAACGGGAGGTTCTATCTTTGAAAAATAAATGAAAAGCAAATACTCCAAACAACAAATAGAAAACTCCAATAATTTACAGGTAAGTCTGCTTTGGTACTTTCATTATATTAATTATGACAAATGCTATGATTGAGGTATGGATAAAGCTTGTGACTGGATGAACCATAATATGGAATGCCCCAGACCATAACGGCATAAGATAAGAAAAGGAATACAAGATCAGCAAAAAGTTGTCTGAGAGAGTTAATTTGATCAATGTTTTATAACTATTTCATAATCTAGAAATATGCAAACAAAGAAGTATCAACAATATCATGCCAATGTTGAAACTTTAGACACTTGGATAGTAATTAACATTGATATGCAATTCCTATTTGTTAAACCACATGTTAGCTTTCTAATGTTTTCATGATTGCCTCATGTTATTCTACATCGTCTCTTAACTGGCATTAAGAACATACACGGACCATTTGTTTCATGTATTATACGATATCCTAACAAAAAGTTCATCGTAGATACCAGGATTGAATTTTGTATTTGCGCCAGACGCGCGTTTCGTCTCAAAAGATTCACCAGTGACGCTCAAATAAAAAATATACATGATATATGAGAACAATATGTAATCGTACTATCGACGTTTTTTTATTACAAGTTTTATATGTTAAAAAAAATCAAGAAAAACAAACGATATCTTACGCATGCATTTGCTAAAAGCAGAATTTGATAAGGCAGATTCTATTAAACAATTTCGTACCTTTTGCATTTGTCTTAATAAAATTATCTGTAACATTCTTACAGACTTATTAAGATAATATAGAGAATGGCAATAACATATCAACTTCAAAATATTTACATGTTCTTGGTTTATAGAAAGACATTTCTTGAGACAATTTTACCGAAATTTCTTTACACAAGTTGAACTCTTTTTAGGATTTTGATTCGAAACTATTTTTGCAGGTATATTATTTTAACGATAATTGTTTTGTTTTCAAATCAACGTGCAAAATTTATATGCAAAATTCATTGAAATAAGTGACATAGCCTGTTGACTGTTCCTTTACTTTGATATTCCAATCCAAATTTCGATCAATATTTCCTTGTTTTTCAAAATTTAAAATGTTGTTTCAATTAAAACGTACAGTCTTCATATATTAGTGAAAATTTTGTACACGTATTTCGTTGTTTAAAAATATCTTTTTACTTTTCGAAATATAGATAAAAATTTTGTTGGTCCACTACACAATCACGTGATTATTGAACGTTTTCTTGTTTTACCGTCTAAAAGACATAAATAACTACCGTTATAATTTAAATGAAATTTTAGAAGCTTTCTTAGAATCCTAGGCCTAAATAAAAGCAACAGTAGTTTACCGCTGTTCGAAACTCATAAATCGATAGAGATAAAAACAAATCCGGGTTACAAACTAAAACTGAGGGAAACGCATCAAATATAAGAGGAGAACAACGACACAACAAAAACACAACATTTAAATGTAACACACACAGAAACGAACTATAATATAACAATGGCCATTTTCCTGACTTGGTACAGGACATTTTAAGAAAAAAAATGGTGGGTTGAACCTGGTTTTGTGGCATGCCTAACCTCCCGCTTTTATGGCAACGTCAAACACAACACCAAAACGACAACATCACATAACAGGACCACAATACAAATAAATGGGAGAACATATAGGACAAAGAAACACACGAATAATAGCTTACAAAAGGTACTAGGCTTAGAATTCAATACGCCAGACGTGCGTCTCGTCCACACAAGACCAACCAGTGACGCTCAGATGAAAAAAGTTTGAAAGCCAAAACAAGTACAAAGCTGAAGAGCACCGAGGACCAAAACTTCCAAAAAGTTGCGCCTAACACGGCCAGGGTTTTCTGCCTGGGACAAGAACATCCTTATTATTTAGAATAATTTATAATTTTGCAAACAGTAAATTTTATAAAATGTCTATATAATAGATATACATGATAAAACCGAAGTGGGGACTAACTACAGAATAAAAACGGA